AACTGTATCATAAAATTCAAAAATTAAAAAAAAAAAAAAGCCACTGGACCTGGTGTGCTGGCCTAAAAGCTCCTTAAGTCTTTGCCTTGTTCATGCCTGGATCCCATAAGGGCACCAGTTCCCAGCTGCCCCACTTCCCATCCAGCTCCCTGCTTGTGGCCTGGCAAAGCGGTTGAAGACAGCCCAAAGGACCAAGCCTTGGGACCCTGCACCTGTGTGAAGATCTGAAAGAGGCTCTGGGTTCCTAGCTTTGGGTCGGCTCAGCTCTGGCCATTGCAGTCACTTGGGGAATAAATCAACGGATAGAAGATCTTTCTCTCTGTCTCCTCCCCTCTGTTTATCTGACTTTGCAATAAAAATAAATAAACCTTAACAACAACAACAACAAAAAGCAGCCACTGCCCTCCCTCAGGTCAGAACTTTTCCAGCCCCCATCTGACTCCCAGCTTCCCACCCAAATGCACATCTAGCACCGCTCAACCTCCCCATGTCACACTTCACCCATCTTCACTCTTCCTCTTGTAATACTTCCATCACCTTGCATGGCCACACACATCCGCTCTGCCATCAGGGTCCATCACAAGCACTTGGGGAGTGAGTGAGCTGCAAGTTTTCCCCAGATTGTGTTGTGGTGTCCTGGTTCTACAGATCGTACTGCAATAGAACAGTCCAATGGGCATGAATACTCCACAAAATTGTTCTTCAACTCCTCTTAGATATTGCCAAGCACATTTAAAATTAAAACACCTTTAAAAAGTCTGCTATTCATAATGCCAACTTCTGTAAAAATCAAATCTCCCAAACATATCTTGATGATGAAATGCTTTCTTTTTTTAATCAAATAAAGCTTTCTGGAAGAAGTAGCTGCTGAACTGGATTCTGGAGGAATGTAAGGGGGAAGCTAGAAGCCAACATGGTGGTGTAGGAGGCTAATCCTCTACTTGTGGCACCAGCATCCCAATTGGGAATGGTTTGGGTCTCGGCTGCTCCACTCCCAATCCAACTCCATGCTAATGTGCCTAGAAAAGGAGCAGAGGAGGTCCCAAGTTCTTGGGCCTCTGCACCCACATGGGAGAACCGGAAGAAGCTCTTGGATCCCAGGTTTGCTCAGCTCAGCTCTGGCTGTTACAGCCTTGTGGGAAGTGTACCAGCTGATGGAAGATCTCTCTCTCTCTCTTCCTCTCTGTCTGACTTCCTTGTAAGATAAAGAAATATTAAACAAACAAACACAACCAGGGAAGCTGGTGAAGAGGACAGAGAAGAAAGGAGGGAGGTGCAGAGCTTGATCTGGGAGGAGGAGACATTAAGGAGAGTTGGGGAGCTGAATAGAAGGCCTGAGGGCCATGAACCTCCTAAGGGCCAAGCAGCAGCCAATGTGTGAGCTCACTGGTTCTCATTGGTGAACGATCACTAATTCTCATTTTGATTTTTCCAAAGTTTTAATTTGTTTTTCACATTTGATTGGGAAAGACAGAGACACAAAAACTGTCCCCCAGATGCTGGTTCAGCCTCCAGGTGGCTGTTAATGGCTAGCCAGTGCCTGGCAAAACTGGAAATCAAGAAGTCAAGCCAAGTCTTCCCCAAGAGGGGAAGAAACCCATGCCTTATATTCGTCACTGTTGCCTCCCCAGGTCTGCAGCAGCAGAAAACTAGAACAAAAAGTCAGCTAGCAGCTGAGCCCAGGCATCCAATGGAGAACACAGGCATCTTAGTGTCTAGGCCAAAGACCCACTCCAATCCTTTTTATGCTGTTGTTGTTGTTGTAGTTAAGTATTAGAGGTCTATAGTAAGCAAAGTTGGTGTTATCTAATATCTATACACACATAACAAATGGTTTATCATGGCTCTTACCACACACAGTGCCCACAGATATTTTCTAATATTTTTCCCTTCTTGGAAAATCACTTCCAACAATCTGTTCCAAACACCCACTCAAGCAAAGATGGGGGCTTGCACTCTATAACACCTTAATAGCAGTGTGTGGAAGCCCCTTTTTCTTTCTGATACTGGAGGCATAAAAGAGACGAATCTACTCTGAGACAAGCAGAACAAGCCGTTCTTTGTGTTTCTGCTAAAAACAGTTAGCTTATCTATCTTCCATGCCTGGGTTTCCTTATCACCAGTGGGGGTGGGAGGGTTATAAAGCCACTGAGGACACAAAGTAAGTCTTAGGTTTTTTTTTGTTGTTGTTTTTCCTGAGGACTGCACTTGGCACATTAGCAGACACATTGTAAGCGCATCCACCACACTTGTGGATTGTACTGCGTTGTGCTCGAGTGTGCGGGGTGAACCATTCTAGCAGGCTGAATACAGCAGCAAGTTTCACCCAAGGACTGTGCAAGGTCCTGTAGGCAACCCGAGTCATGGGGAAACCATCTCTGACCCCTGTGGCTGCTCGCTCAGGAAACCAGTGTCTGTGTCATCAGAGGGAACCCCAGGAATTCCTGTTGTTGCACAACCCCCTGCAGCCAAACCTCCCAGGATGTGAGGTCTGTGAGCATAACAATTGTGTTGGCATTCTTCTCTTTTTCCCCAAGGTTCCCTGCTGTCTGGTTAGTCTTGATGCCATCTATTCCACCTTCTGAAATCCTCTTCCTTCCAGACTGGCTGCAGGGTGGTGCTCACCTCCACGGACGCTGCCTCTCTTACTTTTTGTTTTAGGAGCTTCACTGTTTAAATCACTCACAGAAACAGACGGTGAGCAACAGCCCATTTAGCCAGGAGACAACGCAAGGATAATTCCCAGAATCTCACACGATTTTCTGCGATGCTTTTGGCAGTCTCTTTGTGACTACCCTACTTCCTGGGGGTGAATTTTAGCAATACCTGCCTTCTTCTCATCCCCCATTGCAGTTTAGATTCCACTTCGTGCTTAAAGGCACAATTAATAGTTGAGCAATTAATGAGTTAGTCACCATCCAAGTGGTCAGGGCGTTCCAGAAGGGTGAAGGTCTTCCAGGGTTTCTCCTTTCCTACACAGGAAATACGTTATCTTGGGCTCTCCAGCAGAACGACTCATGTACCACACCTTAACATACAGGAAGAAAGTTCAAGTGTAAATTCATAGCACCCCTTACTGTCTTTCACCCACTCACACGGTATAGTTTGACTACTCCCGTCACTAGTCTGAGCAGTGTGGGACATCATGGCTGAGTTGGCTAACGTCAATCAACTGCCACCTTTTCTAGAAGCAAAAGACATAGTGCACAGAGGAAGGACAAGACATTCCCAAGACGCCGAAGGGGAGTGGACTGACTCCAAGGTGCTACTGCCATTTGACTAATTCAACTTTTGCAACTCTAGAACATCTGTCAAGAGAAAGTGTTGTTATTACTTCAAGGTTTCTAGATAGGTTCTAGGGAAAGGCCATTGGCACCCACCCGCGAGTCTGGGAAGTATAGTAACCCTTATTTGCTAGTGGCTTTTTCCTTGTCCTTCTCCTTTTGCTTGTCTGTATATCTGATTTGTCTACCAAAAAAATTCATATATTCACTATGCAACCCTATTTTTGTCAATCAGAAGAGAATATCTCCCACTGGCTGCATGGATTTCATATCCAATGTTTTTCCGTTAATTACATGGCAAAGATGATTTGCTTTTTCTAAAGTGGAAAATCTACCTGGAGACGAGAAAGCTGGATTTCGGCAATACTGAATGAATTTAAAATCTCCGTTTTTCCTCTCATAGGCTGGGCTTTCCTTAAAAACCCACCTAGCCTCTCTGAGCAGGAGTGTCTGCGAGTGGCCTGATGAGTTCTTCACAGAAGGGGGAAGAACATTTGTGTGTGGCTGGTCGCGTGTGCTCAGTAAACACTGACTGCTCTTCTGAACTCTGAGGGTCTGCAGAGTGAATCCAGTGCTTAGCTCACAGATTCTGTAGAAGAAGCGGCAGTACCCATCCAGTCTGATTGCTTGGAGACCTTCCCACAGCTTCCCTAAGAGCCTGAGGCCATGTCCGAGGGCGGTCCCCTGCCGCCTTGGCAGGTGGTAGCCAGCTCCATTGTAGCTTATGATCAGGATGGCGCTTGCTTTTTGCTTAGCTAAAACTGGTCTCTCCACCAAATTCTTCCTATTGTTCTCAGCTCTGACCTCTAGACTGTCAAGGAAAAACTGGCCGGGCTGCTCACTCCACCCTTTCATCCTTCTGCTGTTACGTAATTTCAGTACCAGGCAGGGTCGTCGCGTGATGTGGATCTTAGTCAAGGTGTGGCAGAGACTTTCGTATGTGACACAAAGCAAGGTAGAACTGTATCATGCCCTTGGCAGTTGACACAATGTCTACAAGGAATGCATTTCACTGCCTGCCATGCTTGGTCCTTCCAGCTGGAACATCAATAGTTCTTTCCTCTCCTTCTCCCCCACCGCGTGAAAGCCCCTTGCTCCTCGGCCTCCGTAAACCTAGTGGTTTCCAGTCCTCCATGGAAGATTTAGCTATGCAAGCTGAGTGTAAAAACTGCTACTGTTAGCTGCATCTCATCTGGTGGGAGACAAGCCCACATTTACTTACTTGAGTCACGGGGGAGAAATACAATGATGTAAAATAATTGTTATAGGCCTGAGCAAAACGATGCCAAATTAGAGTGGATTATTTTCATGCTGAGGAAAATGAACCTCTTTCGGCAAATGCTGCATTCCAGGCTCAAGGAGGAAAAGACCCAAAACTCTCTGTAGGTGGTTAAGTTCCTGGGAGACAGAATCTTAACCACGAGGCAGCTCAGTTACATAAGTGATTTAGGAAGATCCCACGGGGAAAGAGTTCTTTATTGGGGCAGGGGCACTCTCGATTAGAGGGGCAGGGCTTTGAAGCGCTGTTTGTGTCAGCCCCATCTTCGATCGCAGCAATGTGCCTTGTCGGAGCTGGTAGATTATTAACAGGGGTTATTGGTCTCCATGACAAAACGATTGACTAATTGTGCTGAACATAATCTCATTTATGGGGGTGCAGGGGAAAAAAAAGGACGTCAGGCTGGGGAGAATGTATAAATGTTCATCACCACGCAGGCTTGGCCGTGCTTGAGCGGCTGAAGCGACTCCAAGGACACCGTTCATAGGGCTTTGGTTTGCAGTCCCCAAATACTGAGTGACCTGGGGACAGTTCATAGCGCACTAGGCCGAAACCCTTGAAGAAGCCCAGGGCAGGAGGCAGTGAACAGTCCGCGGCAGCTGAGCAGTCCCGAGCCTCCGCACCATGTGTACGGGCAGCTGTGCCAAGTGCCTGGGGGGCACCCTCATCCCCCTGGCTGTGATTGGCTTGCTGGCTAACATCCTGCTGTTTTTCCCTGGAGGGAAAGTGTCCGACAGCAACGACCACATTACTGATGAGGTCTGGTATTTCGGAGGAATAGCTGGAAGCGGGGTCTTGGTGAGTAGCAAAGCCTTTCAATGGGATCCCCCTGCCTTCTAGCCCTTTTCAATGCCGTTCTTGGTGAACAGGAAGATACAGTTCTTGCTGAACAAAAGGCTGAGCATGGCATGATGAAAACTCATGTAACTGCTGTCTCTTCTAGGACGGTCAACTGAAATCTACTGACTAATCCTCATGCTTGGGCTGACCGTCCTCATGGGACATTCAAGTCCTTTACGAACCAAATTAATGGCCATATAATTGCTTTCTTCCCACCAGTCGGGGCAGGAAAAGAATTTTAAAAAGTAATAAGAGTGATGTTTTCCAGAGCCTTGATTCACTTAACTGCGTGCGGGTGGAGCTTCCTTCTTCCACGCATACAAGATTTCTTTATCCCCTGATTTCTAACAGAATTGAGAAGCTTTCGTGGACAGGAGCTTTTCCTGGCAATTGAGGAAAAGCTGCTCCCTCGTGTCCTAATTCACCATCTAAATGAAAAGTTGGGGTGCCAGACTTTGCAAGCTTGCCCCGCTGGAACTGAAGGCAGTCATGTCTAATGGCTCACTCTCCTGTCTGGCCAGCCAGGCTCGGCTGAACTGTGTCATCCACGCCTGAGAGCTCTTGCTGCTCCCCCCCAGCCGGGTTGGGGTTCCCAGCACAGTCAGACCCAAGCTGAGATGTCTCTCTTGTTGGCAGATGATCTTCCCCGCGCTCGTGTTCTTGGGCCTGAAGAACAATGACTGCTGTGGCTGCTGTGGCAATCAGAGCTGTGGGAAGCGGTTCGCGGTGAGTTTGTGGGCACAGGCACCAGGGTGTGCCGTCTCCCTGGGAGGGATAAAGACCAGGTCAAGGGGATAAAGCCGGGCGTCTTTCTGTTGATGCAAAATAGCAATAATAGTGCATGTTGGAAACGCTGCAGCCCTCGGGCTTGTCGGAGATGACACCATTTTAGGTATGACAAGGAGACAGGGTCGTCAGAGCTGGGAATCCGGAGATGTGCAGTATGAAGGCTGCGGGCTTGGAGGGTGGAAATGGAGCTCTCCCTCTGCCAAAGCCGTTCTTGATGTTGCATTATTTCAACTCTAAGGAGGATTTGGAAGACGGTCAAAGATGGCAAACTTCCCTTCCCCCACCAGTTCCCACCTCTCCCATCTAAGCTCACTGCTTCTGCGGCCCAGCATGGCCCCACTTACCCCAGATTCTGCCTCAGGACTTCGGTCTCCCCTCTTGCTTTGTGTGGCCTGCCACCTGTTAGCTGGGGAGCTAGAGAGACTAGGTGAGTCTCAGCCTTCTAGGTGAAGGGGGAGAGAAGGCTGGCACAGCACACAGGGGCAGGATCCTTCCAGGAAGCAGCCAACCGGGCAAGCCACGGTGCTGCTCTGCCTCTCTGCTCAGCTGAAAAATAAGCAAGTGGAATTAGATCAGAATTTCCCACATTTGGGACTGGTGCTGGTCACCAATGCCTGGATGTGATATCTCTTTGAACAGTATAGAATGTTTCTAATTTTTTTAAATTATTTCTGTTCTGTCAAAAAAAAAAAAAGGCCTTATTGTGATGGTGCTAAGATTTTACTATGTTGTTCTGATTTCTTTTCTAATGGCCCTTTTTGAACAAAGGAAAATCAAGTCTTAGGCTCTGGAAATTCAAGTAGCATTAACTGGAATTCACTAGCACTGGGTGTATGTCCACTAAAATTTCCAGTTCTCATTTATAATAATGATAAAAATGAATAAAATAGAGTTAATTTACAGACAAATACTGAATTTAGTTCTATCGATGTGGGGAAAGATGAAAAAGAAGAACTGGAATGACTGGCCAGATGCAGAGGAAAGGCAGGCTTTTCTCTCCACGGTTCAGTTCCACCTGCGAGCCTTAGGAGCCTCAACCATGAACTTTATATACTCATGCTAACTTCTTAAAGGGAAAGATGTACCAATGCTTCCCAATTAGACTCATTTTAACCTTTCTTTCTCATCATTATCTGCTCACTTGTTCAATTAAATATTGACTGAAGGGCAAAGACTGATGCATTGTGCATATATAGAAGTATTCCAAAATGTTTGCGAAAAAATAGAATTAAAATAAAGTTTATTTTGGTGCAAAAACGATTTAATTAACTGAAGTCAATTTGAGTAGATTAAATACATTTAATTAACTGATACTTATTTTCCACGAACTTGTGAATACTGTCATAGTGCAATTTTCCATGTGATATCAAAGAGCATTTGAAGAGTATGTATTCACCCTTTTTAAAAGATTTATTTATTTTTATTGGAAGTCAGATTTGCAGAGAGGAAGAGAGACAGAGAGAAGCATCATCCATTCACTGGCTCACTCCCCAAGTGGCCACAATGACCAGAGCTGAGCCAATCCGAAGTGGGGAGCCAGAAGCTTCCTCTGGGTCTCCCATGCAGGTGCAGGGTCCCAGGACTTTGGGCCATCCTCGACTGGTTTCACAGGCTACAAACAAGGAGCTGGAAGAGAAGTGGAGCAGCCAGAATACAAAGTGGTGCCCCTATGGGATTCTGGTGCCCGTAAGGCAAGAATTTTAAGTGACTAGGCTACCGCTCCAGGCCCTGTTTTCACATTTTTAAACACCAAAACTTCCTAATTGAGCACTACTAATTGCTCTTCCAACACCTAACTGAAAGCTATCAGAAGATGTTAAGATATATAAAAGCAGCCATAGTTTATTGAGAAATAGGAGCTGTATATCATAGATGATATTTTCATAGGGTGAGTTCAAAAAAGAAAAGGGGAAAATACGTGGCGGATAGTCTGACAATTGAGTCAACACACTGAAGCGCTTGGTGTGCCCATATGGTTGTCAGTGCTCCCCAACCTCCACAGCAGGTTTGCCCTTGGTTTAAGTTGAGAACAACACCTGCAAATGACTGTTCAGCTGGATGGTCAGCGTCCATTAAAGGTCCCATTGTGCCAGACTGCAAGCCAAGGCGCCCAGTCTTGGCCATTCTGGCCTAGGCTCCACCATCTGCTGGGGAGCTGGCACAAGAATTTCCTGGTGTTTTTATTTGTGTGTTAATCAAATGCCAATATTTTTTTTTAAAAAATAGATATCTTTCTTTGCAAAAAGGTAAACAAGGAATTAGAGGCAGGCATTGTGGCATAGAGGGTCAAGTCACCACCTGAGATACCATGTGCCGTATTGCAATGCCTGGTTTGAGTCCCACTGTTTTTGATCCAGCTTCCTGCTAATGTGCCTAGGAGGCAGGATTGAAGTGCTTGAGCCCGTTCTACCTACATGCAGAGCCAGATGGAGCTCTTGGCTTCAGCCTGGCTCAGCCTTGGCCGTCACACTCTGCCTTTCAAATACATAAATAACTGTATTTAAAAATTAGCTTGACACTTTGGATCCATGTTGCAGCACAACAATGGCCTTTGCAGGACGTGGCCTACAAGACCACTTCACTGCATCGTTATCTCTGTCCACCCCTAAGACCACAGGTCCTGCTCCTGCTGCACAGCTGACTTTCCTTCATGTTTGGAGGCTCTGCAGCACTAAGCAACAACCTTTTTGTTTTTCAATTTGAGAGGCAGGGAGGTAGAGAATAGAACTTGCATTCCCCGATTTACTCCACCCAATGCCGGAAATGGCAACTGTTCAGTAAAGGGTGAAGCCAGGAGCCAGAAACTCAGCTCCGGTCTTCCATGGAGGTGTGGAGGGGGAAGGCAGGGACCCGTCACCTGCCGGCTGCCAGGGTCTGCGTGCACAGGAAGTTGGAATCAGGAGTGAAGCTGGGACTTAAGCCCAGCCATCTTCATCATCAATTTAACCCCAGGCCAAACAGAAGCTCCAACGCTCAGCTTTTACAATTAAGGATATTTCAAGCATTTGTCATGAAACAAGAAAAAAGCTGCCGATGTGTTTGGTGGAGCTATAATGCTGACAACGTAGTTTATTTCTCCACATGCGCCAGCCACATCCCCCAGTGCTTCCGAAAACCCTGTGCTTCCGTAGAAACCCAGCTCTGGACCAGCTGCTTCCTACTTCGTCAGCTCACTCTCTCCTCCATTGTCTTTCCGGAACATCCCTAGACCCTAGACTCTTGGCTTCCGTTTCTGTGGATCCTAAAACCAGCCGCTGGGAGGTAGAAAATGCAGAGTAGGCTGGCTGGGAGATAAAGCCATACCAGGAACTGGGGGGCACCTAGACCAGTCAGTTCGTCCCAGCTTAAGGATGAGGCTCAGGAAATGGAGACTATTTCTCCTTTGAGGGTGAACAAGAGGGAAGCACGGCTTCATGTGTCTGTAATGCCTTCCTGCAAGTTAGGCTCCTTGAGAACTGGCAAAGTGAGTCCCCGGGGAAATCCAGTGCGTGTAGGTGACTAGTACTTCCCAGGGAGCTTGGACCTGTGCTGGCTTGCAGGCTTCCACACCCACCTCCCCGCTCCATGCTCAGCGGCCTCCTGATAGCCTGTGCATGGCTGGAGAGCGTTTTCTGCCTTCCAACCCTCAAAATTTCCATCCCTGCAGGCCAATGGGATAGATTATTTTATGAACTCATTCATGTGACGTATGTGCTTTTGGACTTGACTCAAAGAATAGGATGGGCCAGGCAGATATTCTAGCATCAGAGAAATAAAGTACCTGCACCCCCACTCCCCACGGTCAGGCCAGATGGTGTGTCTGCCTGGCCAAGAGGACAGTGGTCCCCTCCTAAACAGACCGAGCCTTGTAAAAGCTGTACTTCCTCTTGTGCCTGGCTCACCAGCACCCCCTAGGGATGCTGCATGAGTGAGCCCTTCTGGGAACTTCCTCTTCAGAGGGGACAACTCCCTCATTGGACTTTCCAGTGCTTGGAGTATCAGCCAATCTGAAGGGACTTTACAAAGATAGTTCTTTGCGATATCTTCAAGGGAATTAATAATTACTGTCCATGCCTCAAAAGCTCCTGCTGAAAAAGGAATCAGGTCAGTGACTACCTCTCATAAGACTGTTGCAATCATTGGGGAAAAAGGTTGTGTCAATGAGAAGGGCGAGGAGAGAGGTCTCCCTGAGTACCCATGGAGTTCAGAACACAAATCCTGGATAAACACTGTTGGCTGTTACTGAATGAAATAAATGAACTCCTCGGAGGGATTTCAGGGGATTTCTGTACGGGATCAGACTGAATCATCACAATCATCCATTTGTAAACTGTTGAGCCCTGTCCCCACAAAGCTTTTCATAAAGGATCAGTGCTTTCACCATCCTGCCAATCACGCCTCACTCCTAATTTGCTGTCTGTTCTTGCTTCAGTTTTAACAGAAGCATCCCCAGCTAGATCCTCTGCAGACATATCCTGATAGGCAACTATGTGGGGCTTTTTCATACACAAGCTTGTTGAAACCCAGGAATAGTTTTTTCATGATACACGTTTTCCTTGAACTTTTGGAAGACCCCTGGTAAATGAAGAAACAGTGCCCCATGCCTGTGAAGTTGCCGACTGCCACCCCTTTCCCAAGCCTTGCTGGGGTCAAAAGTCAAGGACATTAGTGTTATAAGAAAATGTATGTGACCTGCATAAATCCGTGCAGAGCTCTCGGAGTATTTTGCAAAGGACAGCCATGTCTACCAGACATACTTCCCATGTCTACCAGACACACACCGCATTCCCAGATCATCCACTCCCCCTCGCTTCCCAGTCCTGCCCCCTCACTTTCCTTCAGCTAACATCAGCATGCGTGTAAGGAGGGACAAGTGACGTGGAGCTGCCAGCTGCTGCCGCCTTGCCTGTCTCAGAGCTCCACGGACAGGGACGTCTTCAGGCTGGCAGGCAGGGAAG